TGCACTCCAGCCTGGACAACAGAGTGAGACTCTGTCTCAAAAAAAAAAAAAAAAAAGTAATAAATTAACAATGTTTTAACTGCAAATTACAGTTATAAAAACATCTTAATTTTATGGATTTTTTGTTTTGCTTGATCTCAGCAGTTTTTTGTTTGTTTGTTTGTTTTTCTTTAAGATGGGGTTTCGCCCCGATGGCCAGGCTGGTCTTGAACTCCTGACCTCAGGTGATCCCCCCACCTCAGCCTACTAAAGTGCTAGGATTACAGGCATGAGCCACCACGCCCGGCAATCTCAGCAGTTTTTTGAACACTTAAGTTTATTAGAGTTCTAGAAATTGTTTTTTAGTTTATTGATTTTCATTTTTGAGATAGTATCTCACTCTGTCACCCAGGCTGGAGTGCAGTGGCACAATTTTGACTCACTGCAACCTCTGCCTCCCAGGTTCAAGCAATTACCATGCCTCAGCCTCCCTAGTAGCTGGGATTACAGACATGCACCACCATACCATGCCTGGCTAATTTTTGTATTTTTAGTAGAGATGGGGTTTCACGATGTCAGCCAGGCTTGTCTCTAAACTCCTGACCACGAGTGATCTGCCCACCTTGGTCTCCCAAATGCTGGGATTACAGGTGTGAGCCAGTGCACCCGGACCTTTGATTTTTTTTCCCCATTTATTTATTTTATTGCATTTTAGGTTTTGGAGTACATGTGAAGAACATGCAAAATTGTTGCACAGGTACACACGTGACAGTGTGATTTGCTGCCTTCCTCCCCATCACCTACATTTGGCATTTCTCCCCTTGCTATCTCTCCCCAGCTCCCCACCCCCCACCGTCCCTCCCCTATTTCCCCCCAACTGACCCCAGTGTGTAGTGCTCCCCTCCCTGTGTCCATGTGTTCTCATTGTTCAACACCCACCTATGAGTGAGAACATGCGGTGTTTGATCTTCTGCTCTTCTGTCAGTTTGCTGAGAATGATGGTTTCCAGGTTCATCCATGTCCCTACAAAGGACCCAAACTCATCGTTTTTGATGGCTGCATAATATTCCATGGTGTATATGTGCCACATTTTCCCTATCCAGTCTATCGTCGATAGGCATTTGGGTTGGTTCCAGGTCTTTGCTATTGTAAACAGTGCTGCAATGAACATTCGTGTGCAGGTGTCCTTATAGTAGAACGATTTGTAATCCTTTGGATATATACCCAGTAATGGGATTGCTGGGTCAAATGGAATTTCTATTTCTAGGTCCTTGAGGAATCGCCACACTGTCTTCCACAATGGTTGAACTAATTTACACTCCCACCAACAGTGCAAAAGTGTTCCTATTTCTCCACATCCTCTCCAGCATCTGTTGTCTCCAGATTTTTTAATGATCGCCATTCTAACTGGCATGAGATGGTATCTCAGTGTTGTTTTGATTTGCATTTCTCTGATTTTTAAAAACATGTTTCTTTTTAATGTATTGAGGGGTTGTAAGTGTGAGTTTCTGACATGCCTATATCGCATAGTGTTGAAGCCTGGGTAGTTCATTGTTGTGAGTTATCAGAAACCTGTGTTCAAGAGGACTTGTAAGAGTTTTTTCCATGAAAAGCAAATTTGGGGCCAGGCATGGTGGCTCATGGCTGTAATCCCAGTGCTTTGGGAGGCTGAGGTGCACATCAGATCACAAGGTGAGGAGTTCCAGACCAGCCTGGCCAACATGGTGAAACCCTGTCTCTACCACCACTAATTAGCTGGGCGTGGTGGTGGGTGCCTGTAGTCCCAGCTACTTGGGAGGCTGAGGTAGGAGAATAGATTGAACCCAGGAGACAGAGGTTGCAGTGAGCCAAGATGGCGCCACTGCACTCTAGCTTAGGTGACAGAGCAAGATTCCGTCTCAAAAAAAAAAGGAAAAGAAAAGAAAATTTGAATTTGGACTATTGCTGATTACAAATAGTTTTAGAGAAGAAGTCAAAACAGTAAATATGGATTATGGAATCAATAGTTATGATGAAAATCTGATCAAAGTTCCCAATTCACAAGGAAATTTAGTTAGTAGTCTTATGTACAGCATTTTAAGAGAGTAACCAGAATCATGACTGACAGCATCACATCAGGACCACCAGACTTTTATAAATTTCATATAATCTTCAGAATATATTAATAACATTTTGTTGTTATTTTTTGAGATGGAGTCTTGCTCTGTTGCCCAGGCTTGAGTTTACTGGCGCCATCTCAGCTCACTGCAACCTCCACCTCCAAGGTTCAAGAAATTCTCCTGTCTCAGCCTCCCGAGTAGCTGGGACTACAGGCATGTGTCACCATGCCCAGCTAATTTTTGTACTTTGTGTGTGTGATGGAGTTTCACTCTTGTTGCCCAGGCTGGAGTGCAATGGGCATGATCTCAGACCACTGCAGCCTCCACCTCCAGGGATCAAGTGAGTCTCCTGTTTCAGCCTCCCGAGTAGCTGGGATAATAGGTGCCCGACACCACACCTGGCTAATTTTTTTTTTTTTTTTTTTTTTTTTTTTTTTTTATATAAAGACGGGATTTCGCCATCACCGACCTCAGGTGATGCGCCCGCCTTGGCCTCCAAAGTGCTTGGATTACAGGCGTGAGCCACCATGCCTGGCCTAATTTTTGTATTTTTAGTAGAGACGTTTAGTAGGGGTTTCACCATGTTGGTCAGGCTGGTCTTGAACTCCTGACCTCAGTTGATCCACCCGTCTCAGTCTTCCAAAGTGCTGAGATTACAGTCATGAGCGACTGTGCCCAGCCATTAACATGTTTATACAAATATAACTTTAGCAAATATTTAGCATAACAATCAAAATTACAAATCATAACATATTCAATTTGTATAAATGTATATAATTTTTGGAACATGTATATCAACAACATACCCATAAATATAACTGAGATGAGATCTAATGTCACCTCATTTGACAATGCCCTCCCACGCAGCATCACCACATTTGACAATGCCCATCCATACAATCTACCAACTAAATTGAATCATTTAATATCTTTACCAGAAGAGAGACACATTCTTTAGACTCCCTGAGGGACCCAGCTGAAAAATCCCAAGGTTAATTTTAAGTCAAAAAGACTTGATTTAGGATTTTGATGATGGAGAAACCCGTCAAAGATGTCATGTTGGAAAACACTTGATCAAAACAGAATCATAGGTCACTATTAGAAGAATATTCATTTACCCAGAGACTTCAAAAGCAATACAGAAAGTTACATGGATATAGAAACCTTAACCCTTTTATATATATATATATATATACACACATATACATATATATGTATATATAATGTTTATATATACATATATATGTATATGTGTGTATATATATATATATATATAAAGTCTTGCTCTGTTGCCAGACTGGAGTGCAGTGGCATGACCTCAGCTCACTGCAACCTCTGCATCCCAGGTTCAAGCAATTCTCCTTCCTCAGCCTCCCAAGTAGTTGGGACTACAGGCATGTGCCACCACACCCAGCTAAATTTGTATTTTTAGTAGAGATGGGGTTTCACCATGTTGGCCAGAATGGTCTCAATCTCTTGACCTCGTGATTTACCCACCTCGGCCTCCCAAAGTGCTGGGATTACAGGCATGAGCCACTACGCCTGGCGAAACTTTAACCGTTTTAAAGCTCAGTTTTGCTAAGTAATCAAAAAGGGTACTTGAATTTCATCAGACACAGGAAGAGTGTGTATGGGTGTACACACATGATGACTTTGGTCATATCTCCATTTGCCACATGATTACACATTAGAGTGGCATCTTTACTGACCGGAAAGCCAGGATTATAGAAGGTATAGGAGGCACTCTTGGACTTGAGACAAGAACATTGTTGTGTAGAAGTTTCATTGATTGTGTTAAAATTATTCTCCAGGGGCTAGAGAACACATAGCATGGCCTTTAGAATGAGCTAGGCTTTGGTTGGATGCAAGGTCTCAACACTTACTAGCTGAGTCATATTGGACAAAGTTCTTCATCATTCTGAGACTCAGTGTGTTTGTTTTTTGAAATGGAGTTTTGCTCTTGTTGCCCAGGCTGGAGTGCAATGGCACGATCTCGGCTCATTGCCACCTCCTCCCAGGTTCATGTGATTCTCCTGCCTCAACCTCCTGAGTAGCTGGGATTACAGGTGCCTGCAACCATGCCCAACTAATTTTTGCATTTTTAGTAGAAATGGGATTTCACCATGTTAGCCAGGCTGTTATGGAACGCCTGACCTCAGGTGATTCCCCCACCTTGGCCCGCCCCACCAAAGTGCTGGGATTATAGACATGAGCCACTCCACTTGGCTGAGACTCAGTTTTTTGTTGTTGTTTGTTTTTAGATGGAGTCTTGCTCTGTTGCCCAGGCTGTAGTGCAGTGGCACGATCTCAGCTCACTGCAACCTCCACCCCCTGGGTCAAGCAATTTTCCTGCTTCAGCCTCCCTAATAGCTGGAATTACAGGCGTGCACTGTCACACCTGGCTAATTTTTGTATTTTTAGTAGAGACGGGGTTTCACCATGTTGGCCAGGCTGGTCTCGATCTCCTGCCTCAAGTGATCTGCCCTCTTTGGCCTCCCATAGTGTTGGCATTACAGGTGTAATCCGCTGCACCTGGCCCATAGTAGGCATTTAATAATGTTTGTTCAAGTATTTGGCATTCTTGGAGGTCAGAAATGGGGTGGGAAAGATTTTCAAATAACAGGTTTTTTTTTTGAGACAGAGTTTTGCTCTTGTTGGCCAGGCTGGAGTGCAATGGCATGATCTCAGCTCACTGCAACCTCTGCCTCCCAGGTTTAAGCAATTCTCCTGCCTCAGCCTCTTGAGTAGCTGGGATTACAGGGATGTGCCACAATGCCCAGCCAATTTTGTATTTTTAGTAGAGATGGGGTTTCTCCTTGTTGGTCAGGCTGGTCTCTAACTCTTGACCTCAGGTGATCTGCCCACCTCAGCCTCCCAAAGTGCCGAGATTACAGGCATGAGCCACCATGCCCAGCCTAAATAACATGTTTTAAAAAGTCACGTTGTCCTACAATATCCATTTCTCTTGCATATTTAGGAAATTGAGATTTTTTTCCTAAAACATGCTGACATATGGGAAATAGGATGTAAAATGTACACAAATGTTTTAGACACAGTTTGAGGTTTCCAGGAGATTTTGTACTGGGGAGGCTGCTTGCTACAAGCTCCCAAAGCTCTGGGAGGACATAGTATTCATCCTCCCTCAGCAGAGGCTGTGAGGCAAGAAGCCCTGGGGAGCACTTGAGCCTTGGACTTCTAGCATAGTGGGTTCAGGTCTTTATGGTTTGGGCCCACGGCACAGAGAGGTCACGGGTCTCTGGCTTCCTGTGACCTTTGCCTGCCTTGCCAGCGGAAAATGTGACCCTCCAAAGCAAGAAACTTGAGGGTGTGGGTCACCCCCACCCTGGCATCTGCCCAGAACATGAGAAGGAAGGAACAATGGTCCTCCAGCTACCTCACAGGGTCGGCACAGGCGGCCACTGCCCTGTGTGGACCACCCAGTTGTGTTGGGCAACCTGAACCCCACCTGCGGGGATGCGAGGAGGAAAATACAAAAGTCTTTATGTGAGCACTGAGAAGGTAGATGCAGCAGAAACCTCCAGGCAGTAACTACCCAGTCTGGGACCTATGGTGGAGAGAGAGCCTAGTGGGCGACTCTAGGGTCACCAGGTGGCACTGTGGCCTTATTGGTGGCTCTGAAAAGGAAGATTTGGAAGGAGATAATCACAGCTAATGTTTAACAAGCACCTACTATGTGCCAAATCATTCACCCCTGGCAACAACCTAAGGAGCTAGGGATTCTTATTATATATCTTTTATAGAGAAGGCAGTGAAGGCATAAAGAGGTGAATTATCTTGCCCAGATCACTCAGCTAATAAGTGGTGGAGGTGGAATAGAACCTAAACAGTGTGGCTGCGGAGCCCACATGCATTGATTCCACAAGCGTTTATTGAGCACCTGCCATGTACAAGGCCTTGTGTGATTAAATACGGTTATGATTAATAATATAACAATGACAAATCACATGTTCTAGATGTAAGATTTTCTTTTTTTGTAGGTTTCAGGCACAGAACTGTATATCCAATAATAGTGAAATTGATCCCACTAGTTATGACAGAAATGATGATACATTTAAATGAGCTGGATGATTTAGAGGTATTATCTCATGAATCCTTGAGGGAAACTAAATGAGGAATGAAATTTATTGTTCCCATTTCACACAGAAGGAAACTGAGGTTAAGAGGGGTAAAGTAATTTTGCATGGCATGAAGTGGAAATTCCAATTACAGGAATTTAAACTTGGATCTATCTTTTTCTGAGGCCCCCATGCTTTTGACCACTATAGGGTCAAGCATCACCTTGATTTTCCACTCATTCAAGAAATTTTTTTAGAATCCTCTAGAGTGGATCTCAGCGAAGATGGCCGTGCAATTTGTGTCCAGCATTACCAGAAGAGTCTTCATGTGGAAAGTCTCAGGGGCACCACACAGAGAATTTTGGTCTCAATCCAGAGAAGAGATAGAGCCAGTGGTTGCTGAGACTGTAGAAGAGGTGAAAAAGGAATCTATCCTAGTGTGTCCACCCTTATGAAGCCGAGCATACACACCACCTGAAGATCTCCAGAGTCGTTTGGAATCTTATGTTAAAAAAGTTTTTGGTTCATCTCTTCCTTGTTATTGGCAAGAAGTCTCCATGGAAGACGGTTGTCTAAAGTTCAGTCTCTTGGTGCATTTAGCTGATGACTTGGGTCATGTAGTCCCTAATTCCAGACTCCACCAGATGTGCAAGTTTAGAGATGTTCTTGAATCTATAATGTTCCTGTTCAAGATAGATCTAAATTTGATGAACTCAGTGCCAGTAATCTGCCCCCAAATTTGAAAATCACTTGGAGTTACTAAGCAATTTGGAAGAGAAACACACTGAAATCATTTTTTTTACCTGGTCAAGGGGGCTGCTTATCATACCTTTCAATACTTTACTATGTGAAATACTACCAGAACTGTTCTCTAAACCCACTTTTTCTATAGATGAATGTATCATCTCTTTTTTTTCTCATATTATGAATGGACAAATAACAGGACTTTCTAGTTTCATATTTGCTGAAACTATTTTTTAAATGAAATTAAGTCATTAATTTGAAAAATTTTGAGAAGACACTGTCATTAACTTGGATTTAAGACAAGAGGACATTTCAAGTTCACACCCTTCATAGGCATAAAGTCGTAGTTGCAAGAAAATATTTTCATCCTGTTAGGACTCATATCTAAGGTAGAGTTATTATATTGCACATACACAAATAAACTTGTATTAGATAGATACCTATAAAAGAAACAGAAGTATGTTGCATGTTACTGACCGTTCTAGATTAATTTCTTTTGGAATTAAAGTAGATTTGTTGAAAAATAAAATAAAATTATCTAATAGGCTGGTGCTCATCATGAGCTTCTGCTCCTATTCTGCAGGTGGTGAAGCCCTCTATTGTTCTGACCCCACAGTTCCTGTCCCATGACCAGGGCCAGCTCACCAAGGAGCTGTAGCAGCACGTAAAGTCAGTGCCCTCCACCTGAGGTAAGTGAGTGAGCGCAGACAGATGGGCCTGGTGCCCTCGAACAGTTCCTGGGTCTTGGCTGCCACAAGTCTCACAGGGGCCATGCTGGGGGAAGTGTAGGCAGTCACAGTACTAGATTTTTCCTCCTTTTTCCTTCCATACAAGTGGCTTAGTATGAAATAGCTTAGTATGGGATGGGGTAGAGTAGTTAACTTATTTGGATAAAAACTGCTATTTTGTGTCAGAAACTCAAAAAGAATTATTGCTGACATGTTAACCTAAAGAAAAACAATGAGACAAGTGCCCAGCAGTACTTCAAAAGGCTATTTATTATCCTGCAAAATTCAGGCTGGGAGTTGTGTCCCATACCTGTAATCCCAGCACTTTGGGAGGCTAAGTTGAGTGGATCACCTGAGGTCAGGAGTTTGAGACCAGCCTGACCAACATGGAGAAAACCTTGTCTCACTAAAAACACAAAATTAGCCGGGCATGGTGGCATGTGGTTGTAGTTCCAGCTACTCAGGAGGCTGAGGCAGGAGAATCTCTTGGACCTGGGAGGCAGAGGTTGAAGTGAGCTGAGATTGCGCCACAGCACTCCAGCCTGAGCGAGAGAGACCGTCTTAAAATATGTATATATATATTTTTTGCAAAATTTGAAGCAGAAATCAAAATCAGCAGCTTCCAAACTATTTTTAACATGATTCATAATTAGAAATACATTTTATATTACATATGTAGTTCTATATTTTTGAATAAAATAATTAATAAAATCACATTTATTTTATAACATGCAATGTATTTTTTATTCTCCTTCATTTGTTTGGAATGCTCTGTGCAATCTACAAAAAGTCCAATGGTAATAATTAAATTATTCATTTAATTAAACTTTATCTTGTCATTTAAAATGATAATTTCAAAAACGATCTTTTGTTTTTGAGATTATGTGTGTATGTGTATGTGTGTATGTATATATATATATATATACATATATATATATACATATATATATGTGTATATATATATATATATATATTTTCTTTGAAAGAGTATCTTGCTCTTTCACCCAGCCTGGAGTACAGTGGCACAATCTCGGCTCACTGCAACCTCCACCTCCCGGGATCAAGAGATTCTTCTGCGTCAGCCTCCCAAGTAGCTGGGATTACAGGCGCCCACCACCATGCCCAGCTAATTTTTCATATTTTTAGTAGAGACGGGGTTCTACTATGTTGGCCAAGTTGGTCTCAAACTCCTGACTTTGTGATCCACCCACCTTGGCCTCCCAAAGTGCTGGGATTACAGGCGTGAGGCATGACTACAGATAGTCCTTTTTCCTTGCAAGCTCAGCTATGAATTTAAAATAATTTGTGTTCACCAGGTTCAGTGGCTCACACCTGTAATTCCAGCAACTCAGGAGGCTGAGACAGGAGGATTGCTTGAGATCAGGAATTCAAGACCAGCCTAGGCAAGAGAGCAAGACCCCATTTCTTAAAAAATTAGCCAGGCATGGTGGCACATGCCTGTAGTCCCACCTACTCAGGAGGCTAAGGTGAGACTAGCTTGAGCCCAGGAGTGTGAGGCTATGGTGAGCTACGATTGCATCACTACACTCCAACCTGGGCAACAGGGCGAGACCCTGTCTCTAAAAAGGAAAAAATTGTGTCATTTACCTAGTATTTGTGACAGTTATCAGGTCATATTAATTCACTACACATAGCCTTAATCCCATATTTTCTCAATAACCCACACTAATCAAGCTTTCATCCCTACCACTGAATCTGTCCCAGTCAACATTACCAATAGCATCCATCTGTAAACCCAGTGGTCATTTCTCAGTAGTCATATTAATCTTTCATCGGGATTGAAACCTTCAAGAAATCTCTCCTTGAAACTCCATATTCTCTTGGTTTGTCACACTCTCTTCCTTTTCCTACCTCTCCTCAGTCTTCTCTGTGGACTCCTACTGCTTTGCTGACCTTTAAATGTTGAATATGGCTGGGTGCGGTGGCTCACGCCTGTAATCCCAGCACTTTGGGAGGCCAAGATGGGTGGATCACCTGAGGTTAGGAGTTCGAGGCCAGCCTGGCCA